GGGAGCCCCAGGGCAAGGCAGGGCCCAGCCCCGGGGATGGGGCCCTGGTCCTGGGCTGCCCCACCGACCCCCTGTGCTGCCTCCCCAGGTGCAGCTCAGCTCCACGCCGCAGCACCCCGAGGCCCCCGTGCACCTCGCTGGCTTCCATCTGCCCACCAAGGTAAGGGATGGGGGCGCAGCGCTCCGACGTGAGGCGCTGGGGACAGGGACGCAGCCCCACAGAGGCAGCAGCGGGTGAGGGATCCCCTGTCCTGTGTCCCCCCACAGCACAAGCGCCCGGGGAAAGGCCAGCATCAGCCCAGTCCCGAGAGGAGCACAGGCCCATCTGAGAGCGACGAGTTCAGCTCCTTCCTCTACTGGCGAGCCCCCCTGCCCAGCATTGAGGAGGAGCTGCAGGAGCTGCTGGTGAGACCCAGGGCCCCCTCTCCTCGCTCTCCTTGCTACCCTGGTGCCTGACCGGGAGCGTGGCATGTGCCACAGCTGACTCTTCCCCACCCCAGAAAGCTCAGGCCATCTCCATTAGCCCAGAGACCGCTGAGGAGCACCAGAGCTCTGAGGATGGGGCCAGTGCTGAGGAAGAGGAGGATGAGGAGGAGAGTGATGACGAGGGTTGGATAACACCCAGCAACCTCAAGCAGGTCCAGCAGGACACAGGGCACTGTGACACTGCTCCCGTCGGCGTCCAGGTCGGCTGCGTCACCACTGATTTTGCCATGCAGGTGGGTGCTGGCTGCTGCCCTGCACGGGACTGGCTCCAGCCTCAGGAGCACGGGGGGCCAGCGGGGTGGGCTGAGGGCAGGTTCTCGCATTACTCAAAGCCTCTGGGCTGGTTAAACCAGCACACCGAGACAGAGGAGCGCATCGCCAAGTACCCTGGACAGGGTGAGACCATCTTGTGACAGCTCCTTTTATCTTAAAAGCCGGCAGGTCTCTCCATTGCAGAGGCCTCTGCAAAGCCCCTTGGCATTGCTTCCGTCAGCCTCTCGCTGCCTGGGCTGGCAAACCCCGGTTAAAGCTCCTGGCAGCCCCAGCTCACGGCATCCGCTTTCTCCCTCCTCGTTGCAGAACATGCTGCTGCAGATGGGCCTCCACGTGCTGGCGGTGAACGGCATGCTGATC